TAACAACAGGGCTGTTTCATTTCCCCATCCATAATTATAATTGTATACATTTAAAAGAAATTACAGCACTTTTTCTGGTTATCTCATCACCTTTTAAAAACAATTACATTGAATACTTTAAGGAAAAACCAAATTTAACTCTTTTTTCTACACAAAAACATATACATATGAAATACAGATGCTTGCAGGTGGATTTCATGAGGTGTGAAAATATTATAAATATTTATTTATATGCAACAGCAATCCCGCTAAAACAACAAGAAACTTGTTATCATATATAGCTGCATATAAGCCAAATTCTTAAGTTCAGATTTAAGCTTCTTGGAGCCAAGATAATCATTGACTGCATATTTTGTACCAAACTTGCTAGCTTCTAGGCGCTACCATAATAGAAATAAAAATACTTTGAATTTTAAAAAAAAAATGTTAACCCGTGTATAAGTTGACATTCATCCTAACCATTGTCTTGAAAGTTTAGCTCAAAGTTTTGGCTTATATATGACCATATATGGGAGCTGAGTCGCTGTTAATGCACATCTATATTGTTAGTTTGGTGGGGCTATTTTTTTTGTTTGTTTTTGCAAGCCTGAATATTCATATTTTTCTGCTCAGCTATCAATGGTGAATAATAAAGCAAAGCAGAACACAGACCAGAAGGTGTGCCACAAGGTGAAAAATAATCAAAACATAAATTCTGCATATTTGTCATTATAGCCCTCTTAGTATAGGAGACAAAAAACAAAAAAAGCCAGATTCCAATATCAGCTTTGACAGTATAAATAAAAAGAACATTATTGTAATCTATGGAGTTACTCCTGATTTCTGCCAATCCAATCTAAATGAGATGAGAAACTGGCTCCAATTCTCTTATTGTGAGACCTCTGCTCAGTGGTAGTGGTATTCTGGGACCAGTCCAAGTAATTGCAGATAGGCAAGTTTAACAGTGAAAATCCTTTGTTGTGGTTGTTGTTATCTTTTACCAGCTATTTTGTATATTAAGAATAAAGTCTCCTTAAATATAAAGGAAAATAAAATGGAATGTTCTTTTGACTGTGCTTGTGCTTTCTCATTCTGTTCAGGCTATAAATAAAGATTTCTATTTCAGGCTGGCATTGTATCAAAGCACCTGCTTCTAGTAAAAGGGAAAAAATCAGAAGCATTCAACCTGCAGATTGCTGTCGGCATGTGATTATCTCAGTGGCAAGGAGAGCTGTGCAAAAGTTGGCTGATTTCATTTGTAGAAAGGGGTTCATTCAAAGCTATTTTGGGGCGTGGGAGGTGTTAACTTATTCTAACATTCTGATTTAGGTTCTGGGTTTCAAACAGACCCAAATGCACAGTAATGCTCATCCAAATCCACAGATCACTGTTTGCGGCTAGTCATGTGAATGGATGCCAAAGGGTAGGAGAACATACAAATGGAGCAGAAATCACTTAAGCCACCGGGAGAGATTGTCTATACCACCTAAGGGAGTTGGGTGTAGTTCTCATTATAGTTTATAGGAGCATGGCATCTAAATGACTGTTGGACAGACCCTGGATTTTCCTGCAAACACATGGTTCAATAGTATGTGGGAGCAGAATATAGAACTAGTCTCTCTAAGGAGGTTGAACTGTTGAGAGTTGGGATAGGGGGAGAGGAGGAGAAGTCACTGAGCTCAGCTGACTTGGTGGGTAGGGAGGGCTGAGAAGGAGTTTGTTGGCAACAGATGCTAGCTGCAGAAAAAAAAATCTGTTATGGCATAGCCAAAAGCCTTAAAAATAAGGGTACATGTGGGTGGTAGTTGTCCTTTAGCCACTTGTGTGTCATTACATGCCTATTTTATTTTAAAATTGCTTTTTAATGAAGATTTGAGGAGTCACAGTATCCATAAAGGATGTAGATTATATTGGAAGTGGAGAATATGATCTAAATTTGAGAAAGGAGATGTATTTGTTTTATATGGAGCTGTAGAATTTAGAAGTGGGATATCAGATTTTGTTCAGTGCATTTCCCTCACCGTGCATTCTGCTGCTATCAATTCTTCCACTTTCATTCTTTCCAAAGAATTACGTACTACATTTCTACCCAGCCAAGTCCCGATGCACTGACCAAAATGAGGACACCAAGGCCTGCAGAGGTAGCCAAAAGACAAGTCAAAGCTAAGGCAAAGCATTCAGTCCATGTTCACTTTCTTCCACTAACAAGTGTTTTCATGAGAACGTCAATTCGGTGCATACACTAGCTGGAACCAATGTACATCAGAAAACCCATTAAAAGCAGTCCCATTCTACTGCTGGAAAATTGGCATAGAGTAGAAAAAGCTGCAACTATTTCTTGCCTTCACAGGCAGCTAGGCAAGTATACCAAATGGACACAACTTGGAGGTGCATAAAGGGCAGGGAAAAGCATGCTTAACTGGGACCTGATCCTGAATTCTATACTCACCCCAAACTCTCAATAAAGTCATCAGTGGACACCCAAGAAACACAGGATCAAGTCCATAGTAAAGAAAAGAAAAGAAAAGAAAACAAAACAAAACAACAAATAAGAACAGGAGGAGGATAAAACAGGAGGAGGATAAAAGCTTAGCCTCAGTTGTGCTATAGTCACTTTAGTTAAATAGTACCGCATATCTTGCCAAGTCACACTGACATAAAAAGTGCTGCTGAAGTTGTACAGCACTGCCTCATCCAAAGGTAGCAGAGTTAAAATCAGACTGTGAGGAAACAGCAGTTCTTGGAAAATGAAGACCTGAATGTAGCCTTTGCATCCTCTACTGCTAACTGTTTGCAGCTCTGTAATCTGGTTCTCAGCATGGCCTGCGCAGTCATGAATTTCATAATTCTTATCATATTTCATTTAAGATACCTATGGCAAGACTGATCAGAGATCCTTACAGCACAGTAACAATTTAATCACTTCTTGGAAAGCTTTTTTGGGAAAGGGGGATTCAGCAATTATTAGCAAAACTTGAAAACATAATACATTCTTAATTCATTTCTGCAAACACAACTACCCTCAAATTCCCCATCACTATTTTTTATTGTGTAATTTAAATAAACATAATAAAATCCCCCACTTGGATCTGCACCAACTGCCTAAACCAGAAGTCAGCAGAATTTTTTGCATAAAACTTTGATTTTTATTGTTCACGTTAATTCAGGTCATCATCACTACATGGGAAATGGATTACTAATGGATAAATGATAATTACAAGGGAAAACAGAATGGAAATGCCTCCAACTAGCAATTCAGCCATCATTTCCTTTTTCCTCTCATATGTTTATTTTATTATCTATCTAAAGGTGCAACGGGGTTTCAGTCACTTTCCTGTTTTATCAACAAAGATAATCTCTCTGTTGTCACACGTTTATTAAAGTGAAATGATCCCCGAATAAAATTCTACACAATTAAAAAAAAATGATTAGTTCCTGGCATGTAAACCTCTAGTTAGCTAATGCAGGACTAACATGTGAGAAAGAAGCCCACAAGCCCTTGACTTCCTCCTTCATTCCAGCTGCTTGAAACATAGCAATGGTATAAGCTGGATCAGCCACTCAATATAATAGGCTGAGATTTTCAAAGCAGTCTAGGTCCCCGATCTTGCCACTGAAACAGGGCATGCCGGAGCAATTGTAATACTGTGACCTAAGGCTTTTGACACAGGTTGTATTGATAGCAATGAAAGCTTTGTCTAAATCCCATAATCCTGCTTTAAAAATCTAAATTGAAGAATGTGGGTAACATTTTCACAAACACTTAAAGTTTCATTACAAGTCAGTCTTAGACACCATAGTACCCTTGCAAAATGCAACAAAAACTCCTAAATTACAGAGATGCTTTTTAATTGTTTTGCCCTGGATCATTTATATATTCCTTCAAGTCAAACACATTTGTACTTATTATTATTTTTCTTCAAAATTATCCCAAATAATATATAAATTATATTTCTTGTCAACCAAACATTTAAATAAATAAATAAATCTCTGACTCATTGATGAGGGGCTGAAGAGATGCTTAAATTCCTTTAACTCTTCCCCCAACAGTAGCAAAATACTATTACTCTACAATATTTTTTTTTATATCAACCTTACAATGGGTCACCCTTTCAGTTCTAGTTCTTAGCCCTTTGTTATCTTTGACTTCTCTAGAAGTTGTTAATATAACACAGTTGTTAATATAACCAATGTTCCCCCTCCCTTCTCACCTCAACCAAATATATATTGGCCTTGTCCAGCTCTGGGATCTTGTCTACCCCACCCACCCACAAAAACAAAACAACTCCCCCAACCAAGATAACATAGTTATTAAAATGGCAGCAAGAATAGCTAAAGTAAACTGTTCGTGTACGTTGGTTTTTGTCTTTATGTGTAATTTAAGAAAGATGAGCCTGACAGTGGCTAGAAGGTCATTATAATTGGCAGTACTTTGGCCTTTTGTAGGCTATCATGTTTTAAACATTTCTTTAGTAGTATAATCCTCATATTATGCATGGATAACCCTGGTTTATTAGCACTGGAGAAGAGTTCATTTCTATCAGCACAGCTTTTGTATGTTTTAATTCATTTCTTTAAATACTAAGGTGACCATATTTTCCTAGGAGTACACAGAATGCCTTACCTCCTTTCTTTTTCCTCAGTACACATTAACATTTTAACAATGGCTTAGAAATTAAAACCAAGGGGCTACATAAACAAATCCCTTTCATAAAAGTATAATTTGTCTCCTATAAGCCAGCAATGTGTTGTAGGTTGGACTCTCCTGGGTATGACTCCAGGGCTTTGTTACAGTAGACTGGTCCAGTGTGATATCACAGATATAAAAAATATTCCATTCTGTATCAAAACTAGGCACATGCCTTTTATTTATATGAAGAGAAGGTCAATGGAGCAGAGCATTTTCGCCCCAAGCTCTTCCTCTCCGATCTTCTACATGAGGACAAAAGTGTTATACTCTCTCTTTCTCTCATTGGTAACTACAGGTCTAATTTGGGGTTTGACTGTAGTTAAAGGGGAGGGGGGTGACATCACACTTGGGTCAGTACTGGTGGATATCTAAAAGCACAACCTCTCATTCGTATTGCTTTAAAATGTACACAGTATATATGTATACTAAAAAAAAGATATATCAATTTCTTTGTGGTGTTGAATCAACTAGAAGGTATGATGCAAGGCTTAACAAATGAGATCTATAGATACAAATTTCACTGCAGAGTATGTTTTAGACAAAGGTGTCTTTTTTTTAAATATGGAAATCCTACACTGTAGGTTGTTTTTCCTTTTTTCTTTTTGTAGTGGTAGAAAATGTTGAACAATTGTCCATGAACATGATCCAACAGTTCATTACTGAGATCCCCAGAATGTCAATATTTGCAATGCAAACAATTAGTACAATTTACCAACTCTGTGAAAGGCCCTGACACATCTGCCTCTAGGCTAGGAGGCTTTGCTGTACAACCACATGTAGTCTTCCCATTTCCATGTAACCATTTGACACAGTGACAGCTGCATTAAGCTGCCTTGCCTAGCAATGCCACATGCCAGGCTGGTTCAATTGGTTATAATGCCACAGAAAAAAGCACTGCTAGCAGTATACCATCAAATCATTTTCATATTGAACCTCCGTGGTCCAGCAACCTCCCCTTCAACTACAGCACCATTGTTTTTGCGGGGGACATACTCAAGGTCAATGCTGGTTTTGTGCTTGCCTTTCCCTCGGCTCCACACAAACAGAAGTAGGAAACAAAATAAAACCACTCCGAGGAATGTGAAGCAGCCCATAGCTGTGGACACCAGTATTGTCTTAAGGTCCAGAGAGAAGATGTTCACATTGGTTCCATTGGAACTGGTGTCATTGGAGTCTGTCATATACATAGGGGTCCTGTTGGCATAAAGGAAACGGTCTGAAGTAAATCCTTTTACCGTAAGGGAGGCTGAGTAGGTGTCATTCCCAGCTGCATTACTCGCAATACAAACGTAGGTCCCAGTGTCTTGATCTTGAGCAAAACGGATCTCCAGTGTACCGTCTCCTAGTACTGTAGATCTCCCATTTGATTTAGTTGTGATCAGCTTCCGTCGGGGTGTCACCCAAGAGATGGTAGGCTGAGGGTCACCGTCGGCATTGCACATCAGCTGCACTGTCTGCCCTTCCTCTACTACCAGGTACTGCAGCTTCTTGTCCCGTATCTTGGGCTTCTTGCAGGTGAAGTAAAATGAAAGGGCAGTGCTGTGGAAGTCTTTGAATGACCTCTCTTTGACGCTGTCTGGGCCAGCGCACATGGGCTGCTGGCTACCAAACTGTAATGTGGGCTGCCTTTGTAATATCCAAAGAAGGCGGCAATCACAAGCCAGGGGGTTGTTATTAATGCAGAGGATCTCAAGGGCCTTGGGGGACTGGAATACATTCTCTTCTAGCGTTTCTAACAGGTTTTGAGACACATTGAGCACGCGCAAGAACCGGAGCCCTTGGAATGCATGTGGTTCAATGGTACGTAACTGGGCCCCCACCATGTGGAGTTCCTGCAGGCGCACCAAGTCTGAAAACATGCCTGCCTCAATGGTGCTTATGGGGTTGTAAGAGAGGTTTAGATGTGTCAGGTAAACCAGGTGCTTGAAAGCAGAATAAGGTACTGAGGAGAGATTGGTGTTGGTAAGGAAAAGAGAAGTGAGGTTGAGACCATACAGGCTATTGGCTGGCATCATGTCCAGTAAGGGCCAATAGTCTATCTCTAAGTCTTTTAGGCGGAACAATCTTTTAAAGGCATATGCAGGCAATGCATTAATGTTGAGATGTCTCAGACGCAAACTGATGAGGTTATGAAGGTGGGAAAGAGCTTCTGTTGGTACAGCTGTCAGGTTACATCTTTCCAGAGTGAGCTGTTCCAAGCTAAGCAGCCCACTAAAAGCCCTGTGAGATATATAAACCAAATCATTGTCCCCAACCTCAAGGGTTTTTAGGTTATGCAGATCCTGGAACATGTAGTCCAGCAGAATCACAATCTTGTTTTCACTTATATCAAGCTTTGTTAAGTTTGACAACCCTGTAAACACCCCTAGAGGGACCAGCTTCAGCCGGTTTCCTTTTAGTCTTAGGGATCGCAAGTTGAAAAGATTGTTAAAGGCTCCAGGCTCTACATTGGCAACAATGTTGTCACTGAGGTCTATCTCTTCAAGCAGCGGGTATGATGTGAATTCCTCA